TTTTAGTAATGACTTTGTTTGCCTCTAGGTGTTCGTTGATTCGTTGTTTGATTATCTTTTCCAGGATCTTCCCAGGTATTGAGGTCAGGCTGATAGGTCTGTAATTTCCTGGGTCCATTTTTTTTCCTTTTTTGAGGATGGGAACTACATCAGCTCTTTTCCAGTCCTCTGGTAGTTCCCCTGTGCTCCAGGATCTCTAGTCCAACTCCCTATACAGGCAGGAAACCCTCTACCATTTCAGACAAATGGCTGTCCATATTAATTTAATTAATTAATGTCACTTACATGTTGAAAGAAGCTTTTTTTGTTATTTTTGACTTATTTTTGACTTTTGTCGCAAGTCTTAGTTCATTTTGAGCCTTAGCTTTCCTCACTTCATCTTTGCAGGCTCAGGCTATTTGCTGATATTCTGCCTTAGTTATGTGCCCCTCTTTCCACTTGTTATATTTATCCTTTTTGTCTTTCAATTTATCAGAAATTTCTTTATGCAGCCATGCTGGTTTCTTTTGAGAACTGTTATTTTACTTCTTCATTGATATTGTGCTAGACTGGGCTTTTATTATCTCACTTTTCAAATTTCCCAAGCTTCTTGAGTTGTTTTCCCCTTGAGGATTCTCATCCATGGAATCCTTCCCAAGCTTTCTCTAAGTTTATTGAAATTCGCTCTCTTAAAGTCTAAGACTCTAGTTTGACTGTGTTCTAAATGCTTGTGCTTGCATAATGTTGAATTCCAATATTGCATGATCACTCCCCCCCAAGGTTCCTGTGGCTTCAACACCTTCTATCATTTCATCCCTGTTAATGAGAATTAGGTCCAATATGGCTAATCCCCTCGTTCCCTTTTCTACCTTTTGGGAGACAAAGTTGTCTGCTAGGTTTTCTTTAAATATAAATTTAAAGAAAAGAAAAGAGAAAAAAAGTAAAAGAAAAGTGATAAATAAGACAGAAATGAAAGAAAAGAGATAGAAAAGAGATAAGATGAAGAAATGGATTCCAATCTTCACAACAGTTATAAATGCATTTTATTCCCTCTCTTTAAGGTTACATTGTGGAAAACAAAGAGAGATCCGGAATACTAGATGCCTGAAAAATCTGGGGAGGATTGTTGCACTCCCTTTCTATGTGAACGATGATTGAAATATCTAATGGCATCTACCAATATCAATATCCTTCGGTAATATTTTATCAGAGCCTTGCAAGGCAGAGCCAGAGAAAAATGCAGTCTGGAAGTGAATTTCTGACGTGCAATGTTCACCCTTTAAGTGGTACATGTAGCCAGGCTTGGGGTAATTTAAAGAACAACTTGTAACTCAAATTCAAAAGGAATATCTGATTCTCAGCATTGTTCTTCAAGAGGACTGGACATTTTGCACCTAGGTTGTCTGAGCTATGGCATAAAACACATTAATCCTGGGAGTCATACCAGAGTGTTGGAGAAACCAGGCCCTTTCCAGTGACTGATGAAAATGCATAGCCAGCCTTTATTGGGTTCTTGTAAAGAAAAGTACATTTTTTTCTTTAAAAAGACACCTGCAAGAAGCCACCGTGTCAACGACTAAATGGCGCAGCATGGGATGCTCATTTCAATGGAGCTGCCATGCTGCTTTATGAAGCCATAACTAGGCTCCCTGGAGAATAAATGGCTTGGTCTTTGGCCTTGTCACTTACCTAGTTGGGAAACAGATCATTGCCTGCTGAAAAGCAAGCTGACATAGAATGCCATGGCAGATCTATTGCTGCTAATAAATCTAAACAAGTAGGGATGTAGGAGCATAATGCAGATGAGACAGATTGCTGTAGACATGCTGTGAATCTACCCACTGGGGAGAAAAAGAAATGTGTGATCTTCTTAGTGGCACTTGTTCATCTTGCCACATAGAGTGATAAAGTATATGAATATATAGCCACTGCATTTGTGCTGCTGCATTAATAAAATCATCAATAATATTATTTGTTATTATTACGTGACTCCTTTGGGCTCCCCATGAGAGGCCACAGAGCCAGGTTTTGACTCCTTTTTGGAAGGCTAGGAGAGTGAAGGCCGTCTCATCTTGGGGGGGGTACAATATTCCACAAGGTGGGGGCAATGACAGAGAACTTCTCTTCCTAGGCCTGCCAATTGGAGTTCTTTAACTAACGGTGTCCACTCCTTCCCTGCCTGATTGGGTGGGATGTGCTAATGTAATGGGACAAAAATGGCTCTGTAGGTAGCCTGGCCCTATGCCATGTAGGGTTTATAGATCATAACTAACGCCTTGAACTGAAGCCAGAAGCAAACTGGGACCGAATGTGTCCTTCTTTGGGTGACCAGAATTGCCCATGTAGCTGCATTCTGTACTAGGTGAAGCTTCTGGATACTTTTCAAGGGTATCTCCTTGTATGTACATGTACAGTATGTTGCAATAATCCAAACGAGAAATGATCAGGGCATGAGTGACCAAATGGACAGCCTTCATATTCAGGAAAGGGCTGTTTTTGTCTTACCCAATGATAAACAAATACAGGAATTGCCATGTGATAACATAGATAACACATGTTGACCATCCCTGATGAGGCCTTAATCTTACATATCTCATAATTAATTTGGGTCCAAGTGTATTTTTAATAGATCATTACTTGTTCTCTATAACATTGTCATAGTTTTTTGAAGACTCTCTTCAATGTGATGCCATAGCAGAGGAGAGCCAGTAAAATAGGCATAAATTATTACTCATGATAAATACAGTATCCTAAAAATATATAAATTCATACAGTTCACCATTTCAACAATTAACTCTAAGTTTGATAGTAATAGCAATAGCATTTAGGCCTATATAGAATCTCTCCTATTTCAATAATACACAATTTTGGCTTTTCGCTCAATAAACAAAATGCATCACATGCCAAATATATTCTAAGAAGCATCTCAAAGATTTCAATTTCAGTTCAGTACAAATTTAATAAATTCAATTTAACTCTTCCTATTTAAATAAAAAAAATCAGCTTACATTAATGATGAAATAAACATAACTCTGCTCAGTAATTTGCTTGTATTTTAACACCCATGTTATCAAATGTATGGAATCATCTAGATATTTGTCAATATCTAGGTTTGGTGTGAAAGGATAATTTAGTTTACCAGCAATGTAAGCTGAAATTATGGATGAATGAAATGGGAGAGTTTTGTCTTACTCGATTGTAGTAATATTCCTTCACATGTTTGCCATTCCAGACAGATTTAACATCATTTATATGCTTATATACTTTTACATTCCCTCCTCATAATTGCCCCTAAACTGTTATTATAAATGTTTAGGACAATTTCTTGGTGTATTATTTTTGCCTATTGTATTTTTTTCTTTGTATCCTATACTGTAGCACCAATTCATTCAACATATGTAAGAGAACATTTTCCATTACTTACTGATATAAGATATACCTTCAAAATGATATTATGGAATATTACTGATGCTAAGTATGTTTAGAAAAGAAACACTTCTATTTACAGTTTTGTTATACAAAAATGTTTGGGAATCTAACTGTATTCTTTTTAGTGTATGAATATTAGTTGGTTGCTGGCTTACTATCAGTACTGTAAGTGGAGTCCCAGAAAAAGTGGCAGTGTCTCTATCCCAGTCTTCTCCAACATGGTGCCCTCCGTGTGTGCTGAACTATGATCCCCAGAGTTCTCAGTTATATCTGGTAGGCACCCCATTGGAAAAGGCTGTTGTATCTATTTAGCATCTTATCTTTTGTCTGTCCATCCACCCCCCAAAATACATTTAGAAGATTTGATAACAATTCAGAGCCAATTTCAAGAAAAGATGATTTTCAGTTGAGGATGCTACTTGACTGAAAACCAAGGAATAAATCAAGGAATACTGTGGATTCTCTGTGGAGCACTTGCACAAAGCAAAGAGGATGAGGGGATAACAACCACCACCCAATATGATTATGGTGGCAGCTTCTTGCAACATAGGAACATACCTTCCATTCACTGCTCCCACGAGACTGACTATCTTCAGTGAGGTTAAATACAGGCAGAGTGCCGGTTATCACCAAACCCAGGCCCTAAAAAAGTAACAACAACAAAAGTAAAATATGGCATTATCTGTAACACCGTAACTGGCCAGTTCAGAATTAGAATAGCATCTCTAACTCATAATATTGAAGAGTAAATCAGCTAGACTTTGCTCCAGAAGAAAACGGGGAGAAGAAACCATCTCAAGATTAACAGGTTTGGGAATCTGAAGGGATACTGAATACTAAATGTATTTATCTAATTTGAACCATATTACAATGTATGAACCACATAAACAAATGAAAGTGGAAAAAAACTGGTTGCAATATTTCATAAAGTTGTTTTCCTTACCAAAGCGTCCTGATAGACATTGGTCCACTGAACTTGCTTTGCTTTGTTTCCGGCCAAGACCATGGGCCTTCCTAGGACATTGAGATATTCCTGCAGGAAACAGAAAGAGACTAAAATTAACAACACGTAACATGCATTCGTCCAGAAACATGAAACATAGCAGTATGTGTATATCATAGTATCATTTGTACAGCAAGCTCACACCAGCGTATCTTTGAGGATTTATTCGTTTGACAATTTTTACCAGCTTTAAGATTGAGAAACAGCAGACTCCTCAAATGCCCCAAAGCCACTTTTCTTCCAGCTGAAGCAATCCAGATGTGCTGGATTACAACCTGAATACACTTTTATCAGCTGGAAAATATAATTATTGCAGTCCAGCAGACACAGGAGACACATGTTGAAGAAGACTGCATAAGCAATCAATTTTGTCAAAATGTTTATTCAGTCAATCTAACAGTTTCACCTCTAACTCATGGCTTAATTTAATCTAGTTATCACTAAACCTGGAAGCCTGGCCTCTTTCAGCTCATCTCCAGCACAGTCTATAAACTGGCAGCTTCACATGTTTCTATCGCATTAGGGTCCAAACCAAGTTGTACCTGCACTGAAACTGCTTAGACTTCATCATAAAACTAGTGCCAATTATATACATTCTGCCTCTAAGTTTTATCATAGTGATTTATATGGATTATGCCTTTTATCCTGGGTTTCAAAAATATAGCTACAGGGTTCTGTTAATGACTTATACCATTTACCCACTTTGATTACCTTTAAACCTAATCTGAAAAAATAATTTTAGAAGCTGAATCTCATTTAAGTTAGTACCAGAGTATTTTTTAGTTGTGATATGATATAGTTTTTATTATTGTCCAACTGCTGCAGCTGGCATTGCTAGAGAGGGCATAGGTGCAAATTTGAAAAACAAACAATAAGATAGATAAAATATCACAATCCACATATTGGAGAAAATAAGTAATCTAAAACCTGTTTCAAAGGTATGCTATCAAAATCTATTTTTTTCCATAAAGGGGAAACAGAGCATTGGTCTCTATGGAGAAAAAATACAGGTTTTTCTATTGAATATAAAAGCTGGGGAGAGATATGGAATACAGAATTGTTAATATCAGCAAAACTTTAAAAATGCAATATAAATAGTGCTATATATAGATGAGTTGAAATGTATTAATTCATCTATTTACAACTGAGAGGCTGTGATGAAATATGTTTTTGATATCAAATGTGCTAGGATTAGCTCCAAATCTTGGATCAAAATACTCAGAATGATCTCAGATATAATAACCTCACAGATGTATTGAATTCTATGTATTATTTCCCATTTTTTACAAAATAATGACCAACATTTTGCAAAAAAACCCCATTTTTTTCAGTTGTAAGCCATTCTTTGGGAAGTAGTTTAGTGTTTGGAGCCACATGATAATTCATAATAACATGAATATGGTTGAGTCACTCCATGGGAGGAAAATATGATTTTATTGCAGTAGATACGGGCAAGAAATAAAACGATCATTTTAATGGTAAAGATGGGCTTGCTCACTTTTGCATAATTCCTGATATTTGGCTTACATTTTGAAGATTACAGACTTTAATTTACCAAATTTGTGAGGTATGGGGGGGGGAGAGAGAAAGCATTTCCTTGCCTTGCATTGGATTCTCTTTAACTATTCTTAAAATATTTCAGCTTGCAAAACCCCCAGCAGGTTGTAAATGGCTTTTGACCCTGTGTCTCCCAGCACAGTCACACTGAGAAAAAAGGTCACAGCCCAACTGCTCTTTCCCTTCAACCCTACTATAGCTTGTTAATCCCTCATCCACTTCTGCAACTTCCTTCTCAATCTTCTCAACCTTCCCACTTTTCCCTCCATTATACATTCCTCCTATAGAGGGAAAAATCAGAGCTTTGTGCAGGATCTTCATGCTCCCCTGGCATAATTACATGTACTCCTCTTTTGAATGGCGAACACCGCAGTAGGAATATGCAGAAGCTTCATACAGGGTCACCTGCTTTGCATTCAGCATGCTTCTGCATCAAATTGGCAAGCCTGTTTGGAAACATTTGTTTGGAAGGAACTCTTGAACAACTGTTAATTGATTGTCTCACAACCTTCATTTTGAGAAATGATGACCTATGTATATAGAGGCATGCTGCCATTCATACTACCATCAACAGCCTTTTTGGAAAAGCCTTAAGAGGGAGAGCTAGAACATGGAGAAAAGATAGTTTTCATTACATTTTAAAAGTGTTTTTTAATGCCCAGTAGAGGCCCAGTTGCTTACATCCATGCCATCATTTCTGCTGTTTTAATAATTTGAGCACATGAACTGTACTTCAGTGCAGGGGTCCTCAACCTATGGGCCACGGCCCACTACTGGGCTGTGGCCTGCTGGCCACCGGGCCAGGGAACAGGCTGGCTAGTGCGTGCACATGTGCGTGCACTCACCCCCACTCATGCTGCTACACAAACAGGGTGCCATGTGGAGAAAACGGGGTGCCACGTTGTGAAAACAGAGTGCTGCGTGGCAAAAATGGGGCAGTGCTAGTGTCCACATGGCAAAAACGAGGCGGTGCTAGTTGCGCATGCTTGCGGCCCCATTTGTGTATGTGTGTGCGTGTGCGTATACACACACACACACACACACACACATGTAAAATGCTTCCCCCTCCCTTTCCCTCTGCTTTAGTGGAATGGTGCCTTGATGATTTTGCAGCCAACCCTGATTGTGAAACCTCTGATAATTTAAGAACCAAGCAAAATGATAGACAAGAAGAGAGATACATATTTATATTTGACTGACCAATGTACTCTCTAGCTGACCAATGATTTTGAAACCTGATGACTACGGGTTGCATTTTTCTTTGCAAGTTTTTTCAGAAATGCTTTGCCCTTGTCTCTAGTAAGCGACTGACTCATGATAACCTAGCTGGCTTCCTGCCTAAAGCAGGACTAGTACCCATGGTCTTCTGGTTTCTAGCCTAGTGGTTTCTTAGTGGCTCTCTTTTGGAGAGGGGCAGCAATAATGGTGCTGAAAAACTCCTCAATGATTTCAGTCTTTTTGGTGACATTTTTTTCAGCAGATCTTCCTGCAAGCCACCAGACAAATACACCCCCCCCCCCAAGATGAGTTCTGGAAAGTAGGGACAAGAAAGGGACATTGGCAATTTATTTTATTTCCTTTTTCTATGGAGGATATGTGAGCTGGTGGTATTTGTTACTTCACAGTGGATGATCGCAAAACCTTTGATGTCTCCTATTGGTTAGCTGGAGGGTGAACATAAATTGGCATATGATGTTCTCAGAGTCTTCTCTGCATTTGTTGAAAAGATGAGGTTAATTACAGGTCAGAGTCCACTTCTTTTATGATGAACTTGGATGGACTGGTCTTGCAAATATGTCTTGAGTTGGCAGTGTAAAAACAGAATTATTGAAAGACAGTTTAGAGAGAAGACATGAAGAAAATGGCAACCTAGCTCATATATTCAAGAAATACATTCTTTAATGAGGACATCTCTGAATTTCAATGTTAAATTTAATTTCATTATTTCATACAGGACTTAAGGATTTCTGCATGAACAATTTCTACTATTGGGGGAGCTGAATCTGGTTTAGTACACAATAATAATAATGAAAAGCATCTACTCCTACAAGCAAAAGTGGGAGAAGAAAGAAGTAATACATGCTTCTGGAAAATAAAAGTTGATATAACTTTCAAATGAATCTATCTTATGGTACCAATGAAAACAAAACCCCACAAATAATAATCATAGATCAGGGCTTTTCAACCTTTTCACCCATTGTACCACTTTTAGGATATGGCAATATCTGAGTACCACCAGTCGCCCAGCAAGGTGTCAAAAACTTGACCAAAAAAAAAAAAAAGGAAAAAAGTGATAAAGTATAGGTAGTCCTCGAGTTACAACAGTTCGCTTAGTGACTGTTCAAAGTTACAATGGCACTGAAAAAAGTGCCCCCCAAGCCACAACTGAGCAAGACACCTGCCTGCCTACCCGGTGGCGCTGTTCCTCCTGTCCGATGTTTCCATTGTTGTGAGCATTTCTGTTAAGGATTTGCAGCGGGGGTGGGGTGGGGGGTGTTTGGTTTTTATTCCCTCCATCTGCTGGGTGGTTGCAGCAGGTTTTGGTCACTTCACATGACCCTGGGACACTGTGACCATCATAAATATATTCATATTTATGATGGTCACATTCAGATGCCAAGCATCTGAATGTAAATCACAAGACCCTGGAGATGCTGCAACACTCCAGCTGATTGGTGCTTCTTCTGGGTTCAGCAGAAGCGCCAGGATCAGTGTTGCTTTCCAGCTGATTGGTGCTTCTTCAGGGCTCAGCAGAAGCACCAGGATCAGCGCTGAGCTCCAGCTGGAGCCTGGCGCTGATCCTGGTGCTTCCACTAGCCCTGACTGTCCCAAAGAAGTGCCGATCAGCTGGAGCAGTACGGATCCTGGCGCTTCCGCTGAGCCCTGACAGCCCTGCAGCTCCAGCCATCTCTCGCTCAGGCATGTGCGGTGCTGCCACCGGTTCAGCTCATTCCCCTCCCCCGCTACCACTTTTCTAGGATGGTCGCGTACCACCTGCCAGGTGCCAATGTACCACAGGTGGTACCCGTACCACTGGTTGAAAAGCCCTGAACTTTGTTACATGCGCAGGCTTGTCAAGCATGATTTCTTCATGTGCCTTAGAGAACACATGAAACATTGACTATTTCTAACATAACTGAAGCCTCTTGGCTATGTTAGATTGAGCTTAAATTAGACAACAAAATACACAGTTTTAGATGGGCAATTAAAACAACTTTCTTTATCTCCATCTGTTTGAACTACTTAAAAAAACCTATACTTGTTGCCAAAATACCATCATGAAAAGAACATCTGTGTGCAGGAATCAAGTTGGACCTGTACATGCAGGAATTTCATTGTATATTTGCATGCTGGGAAGTACTTGGGACTTCTCACTATACTGTATGTGCACCTTAGACTTCTGCGCATGCCTTATCTAATGATAATCTATATGCTGGCTGCAGCTTCATTCGAGTAGTGGAAATCAGAATTTT